TTTTGCTTCCTGTCTCTGTGCCCACTTGTTCATGGTATCTTCTGATTCTCTAGCCAGGTCTTCAGTATTAGAATTTTCCGGAGTTCTGTCTTCGGCCCTCCTCTCCTCTCATTCTACACACTCTTCTATATAATCGGAATCCACCTAACTATAGTCTGATTAATCCCAAATATGTATATCTAATCCTACTCCTTTTGAGAGTCCCAGAACTTGCATCCAATTGACTACTGGATATCCCCACTTAGATATCTTACATCTCAAACTCAACAGAGTCACAAACCAAAGTCATCATCTCCTCCCTTCTCAGTCTCCAAAACCTGTTATGCTTATGGTGACAGTATCTACCTGGTAAACTAGACTAGACATTTCTTCCTCCCTGATCCCCTATGTCCATCAGTCACTATGTCTGTTTATTCTACCTTCTGTTTGTCTCCTTTCTCCTTCCCCAGCTCCATTGCCTTGTTAAAGATATTCACCATTTTTATCTTCCTTCTGCCACAGCAGCATCCTTCTTGCCACCTTTCTTCCTCCACTCTAGTCTACAGCAGTGTTACCATGTTATTCCCTTATTCAATATCTTTTAGTGGTCTCTCACTTTCCCCCAGGTCTGTGCTTCTATATTTTCCCCACAGTATCTAGTATAGTTCTCCTAGTGTTCAGTAATTGTTCTGAACAAAGATATGCATATATGTTGTCATTAATCCACAGTGGGATTAATATAAGGCAAAGGTAAAATACTGATCAGTCCATGAGAGCCTTGAGCGCATTTGCTGCACAGCAATCTGAACTTAGGTTTTCATGGCTTTGGGTACATTGAAGAGAATAAAAGACAAAGTGAGGACTCTCCCAAGTTAGAAGTGTAATACTAGGTTCTTCCCCTTCCCCCTTCCTAATTAATTAGGAACTCCAAAGAACTAGACCTTCACTATAAAAGGTAAGGGTGTGTGTGTGTGTGTGTGTGTGTAAGAACAACTCTACTACCATCTTCAAACTAAAAAGGAATTGTATTACTTGAATTTTTTAAGGATTAACAGGGAAAACAAAAATATCTCCAGATAATTAATAATCACAAGCTAATCCACATATAGGCTGAAGCCCAAATTCATATAATATGGATGGTTCAAAACATTGCAAATTGATCATTTAATTTAAAGGGATTCCAAGCAAACATCAACAAATGCCAGTCTTACCTATAGGAATCCACCTTCCACCTAGTCCTCAAAGAATTCCCACAGCCAAAGTTCCAAGAATAAAGCTTATATTCAGAAAAATGACAAACCCATGGAGAAGAAAAGTACCATAAGTGATAGCCGGTTGAGACAAGAGACAGAAGAAGCACACCAGAAAAGGCTTCAGGTATTGGAATTTCTAGGGATCTATAATAATAAACGTGTAATATGCTAATTATACTGGACAGCTGAATGACCTTCCGGATGAAGCCAGGGCTGTGAGGGCTGAGCCCCTTGCATGAATTTCGTGCTTCGGGCCTCTAGTAGAATATAAAGGATATATCATGTTTAAAGAAACAAAGGAAGGGATTGAAGATATAAATAAAGGCAGGAAGCAATTAATAAAAGTCCAACCATATTTGGAAGAAAAACACAACCTTCTACAAATAGAAATTAATGGGGTTAACAGTAGATTACACAGCTGAGAAAAGAATTAGTGATTTGGAAGATTGAAGTAATTAAGAAGGAATCATTGAGATTTAAGAAAATTTATGAAAGGAAGATGAAGGTACAATGAGGATACAAAAGAATTCCAACATAGGTTAACTGGACTTCCAGAAGAAGAGGAGGATAGCTCAATTTTCCAAACTCATGAATGTCATCAATCCACAGATTGGGAAGTCCAATGTGCTCCAAACCAAAGAAATAAAATTATATGACTAGTATCTATACTAATAAAAGGGTAATATGCTAATTAGACCAGATATTTTCCGGACATCCTTCTGGACAAAGCCACGGTGGCGGGGGACGAGGCAGAGGCAGTTAGGGGCAATCAGGCCAGTGGGGGAGGGTAGTTAGGAGCGATCAGGCTGGTGGGGGGTCTAATTCCTTCTCTACCACTACTTGGGCAAGTTAATTGGCCTCTCTTTGACTCAGTTTTTTTTTTTTTTTAATCTGTAAAATGGGGATAGTAATGTGTCTACATCATAGCTTTGTTCTGGGACTTAAATGAATTAGTATATGTAAAATGCTTAGAACGATGCCAGCACCGTAAATGCCCAACACATGTTGGCTATGGGTGTTGTTGCCTGTGCCTCTTTTGAGCTCCATCTATTCACTGGCTCTTGATACTATAATCCTATATAATAAAGGGCTAATATGCTAATTAGACTGAACAGCAGGACAACCTTTTGGACAAAGCTGAGGCTGCGAGGCCAAGGCAGCCGG